AGCTGGCGCGGCTGGCGGGCGCCGAGCCCCCTCAGCCTCCGGAGGGCGGCTGGGGCTGGCTGGTGATGCTGGCGGCCATGTGGTGCAACGGGTCGGTGTTCGGCATCCAGAACGCCTGCGGGGTGCTCTTCGTGTCCATGCTGAAGACCTTCGGGTCCGCGGAAGATAACCAGATGATCTTCAAGACAGGTGAGACCAAACGCCCGCCCCGGCCAGCCCCGGGGGACAGGCTCAGACCCCCGGAGCGAATCCTTCGTGTGCAGTGTGTGTCTGCGCTCTCGTGTGCTCTTTGGAGGGTGCGCGAGGGTGTGAGATGCGGGTCTGTCCAATCGCAAACGCAGCCTGCCGCTCCTGGGGCCTCGGTGAGCCTGTCTTTATATTGAATCCAGATGTAGGGACTGTGTGTTTGGAAACAAGTCGCCTAACTTAATTTGCTTAGATCTTCCTGCTTCCTCTCTGCAGAGCACTGGCTAAGAGTCTACGGTAGACTTTCCTCTTAATTTTTGAAAACTAACAGACCATCCAAACCCAACAACACAGCACTGTCGTTTTTACTGTCTATTTCATGACCATGGCCATTGGGTTTGTACATCTGCCTCCGGGGTGTGTGTGTTGGGGGAAGGCAGGGTTGATGAGATGAAACAGATTTATTCCAAGGTAAAGGGGAGTTCTGAAGGGAGCCCTCCAAGAGCCACGGTTTCGTGTTTTTTTTGGGGGAAGTAGGGGGCACTCTGTGCTGAATATAGAAAACATAGGAAGTAGCTAGTTTAGGGACTGGGAAGAGGAAGGTGAGGGCTTGCCCTTTCCTGTTGTGTTCTTCGTGGTATTTAACAATTTACCAAACTACATGAAAAAGATGCAGACTCAACATGTTTTTCTGTGTAGGGCATTATTTCGTGTTCTCTTGACTGATTAGGCAAAAAACAAGTCCAAGACCTTCTGTATAGCTCTTTTACATACATTATTTCACTTCATCCTGTAAGCAGGAGTTGTCAACCCCATTTTAGGTGAGCCTACTGAAGCTTGGTGAAATAGTATATTGGTGAGTAGCAGAATGGAGGTAGAAGGCACATCTTATGACTTAAAGGACTAAGTGATTTCCATTACTAAAATCAGGCTCCCTCCCTGCCATTTGGGGAACTTTATGTGATTAATAGTCTTTTTTTAACTTCGATTTTCTATTTTTTTTGGAGTGAATATTCCTTAGGTTTTTAGTGTGCATGTAATGAATATGCAAAACTTAAATTCTAAGGCAGAGATAATGTTGAGTTTTAAAATCTTATATAAATAATGTTATATATATCATTTTGGAATTTGCTTTTCTTCTGTTATGTCTGCAATTTATCTATATGTAATACCTCAATTTGAGCTGGTAGCTTAAATTCTTTATTATACTTTTTATGCGTTCTCCCTTTAATAGATATTTAGATGACTTCCAAACTTACTATGAACACCTCTGCAGTGAATATTCTTGTACATTGTCTCTTTGTGCATGTATTAAATAAGGTACCATATTTACCCTGGAATTTCTGTTCCATAAATAGCTCATAGCTCTTGAAGCTGCTGTGTTATGCAGGTCACAGGGCTAGATACAAAGTGTTAAAAATGTAATAACATATACTTACTTTTTAAGGAAGGAAAACATTATAAAGTTTAGCAGGATAGATATGAATATGTAAGAGTAAACAAAAATAATTTTGTGTCTTTTCTGAGTATCAGGTATCTATCTGGGAAGGAAAGGCTCAAGGAGTCTGGATTGACAGAGTTAACCATTGTAAGACTATTTCCGTCAGCATTTAGTATATTCTTGCCTAGGATTATAGGTTTTTAATGCAGTCAAAACAAGAAGACAACAGTCTTTAGTTTACTACTGTTTTTGGAAGCTCAGGTGAGTAGATCCATTGTTGTCTTGGTTTTTTTTTTTTCCTTCCTTCCTTTTTTCGAGATGGTGAGCATCTGCTGGAAAAAGACCAGCTTTGCCAGGAATCACTTTTGCAGTGTCGAAGCCTCCACTTACCAAGTTCCTATTGGCTACAATATCCCAATACTGGGTAGCAGAAGGTGAGAGAGGAGACAAGAACCTGCTCTTGAAATTTTTGAAACACTATAGTTTTAGTTTTGGTGAATATCTTCCTCCATTTACTCAGTTAAGTCCTTGACAACTTTCCGTCACGTTTGAGTATGTGTGCGTGTGTATCACACAAATAGTTATACAGGTATGCCATTTAAATACTGAAGATCTTTGTGCTTATCTGCATAATTGCCATGCTCGGTTGTGCCCTTGCACAGAGGTGCCCACCTCAGGGTAAATGGAGACTGAAAACTAGCTTGCGCTTTGGTGCCCTTTATCTGATTCTTCTGATGGGCCCTGTGCACTTGTAATGGCCCTGTGTAACATAGCAGCTTGATTGAACACTGGCCTTTACCTGGACACTGTATAATACATGTACAGCAGGTGAATTTTAAGGTATGAGGAAGAAAACAGATTTAATCTCATCTGTGAAAAAAGAGTGACAGGATAGATGTTGGGCCAGTTAACGCTGGGCCAGATACCTCCTCCCACTGCGCAATGAGTATTTCATAGAGTCTGTCATTTACAATGGGTGCCGGAGTATTTGAGAATACCTGCTTTGAAGTTTGATTGTTTAGGCTTTTCCACTGATGCTGAGTCATCTGTGATCAAACATATGTAGGCTTCAAGTACAACACAAAAATATCAGGAATTGTTTAAGGCTTTTATTTTTCAAAGTTTTGATCCATTTTCTATTACCTTTTTCATCATTGATAGTCCCAGCCTTCGAGGGCAGTTAATTATCTCCATGTTTTCATTAGCTTCTTCACAGTGATTAGCCAAAGGATACTCAAGGTGGTGGTGAATTGGGAACTGAGGTTTCCAAATGATGGTTCACATTTCTTGAGAACTTCCTATGTGCCAGCCAAGTGCTAAGCACTTCACATGCATTTCTGTTTAAACCTTACTGCAAGCCCATGGGATAGACTTTATTTAATGTCTTTCTTTCCAGATGTGATAACCCAGGTTTACAAATTTAAGTAAGCAGTGGAGCCAGGATTCAACCTCAAATTTATCTGATTCCAGAAGCTGGGTTTTTAACGATTGATCATATTGCATTGGCTAGATAACATTCTGTAATCCTGGATTCTTTATCTTGTTACCAAGTCAAGCATTAGCAATTGATTGAGTACTAGACCAGGAATTCTGTGGTTAGAAAAGAAGTCTGAAAGATCAGGGTCCCTGTTTCTTGATCAACTTTGCTATCAGTAAACAACTTTCAGTTGTTAATGTCTCATGGAAATGGATTTTTGAAATGTAGAGAGACTTCCATGGAGAAAGAGATAATTTCGTAAGGCATTCAAGTAAAAGTCTGGGGTTCCCTGTGAAGAACCATGTTTCTTTGATCTGATCCCAAGAGGCCAATGTTTCCAGGCAGAAATGAAGAAGAGCCTTACTCAGGCTCACTTCTTTTCAGGGTTCTCTTAACTCTTCCTCTAAAACTGATGATCCACCCAAAGTTTCTTAGGAAAGGACCTGAAGTAATTCATTTGCACTAAGAAATAAGTGAGTTTACATATCTTAATGTTACTCCTCATTCTTTGTACAAATGTTTACCAAGTATCTGGGCACTGGAAATGGTAACTGAGAGAGACAGCTGTTCCTAAGGAGCTTTTGATCTGCTGTGGGATACCAATAAGTAAAAAGACAGATAAAATACTTTCCTAAGGCTTTTGCAATATACCGGGACTCAATCTTATTTTAAAAGGCTGAAATTCTAAGGAAATTCCATTAAATGCTGGGAGTTAGGAAAGGCATTTGATGGCCTCTTTCTCTATGGTAATAAATCTCACTTTGTGAAATTAAGACTTTGGAAAGAGAAGCAAGCTGAGCCCTAAGTTAGGCAGTAGAACTAATGAAAAATGTTGAGTGCATTATAGCTCTAGTATGTTATCGTGGCTGCCAAGGACATGGCATTCAGATATGCCTTGCACATGCTGCTGTGTCAGTTATGTCATTCAGAGGGAGCAAGCTGAGCTCGAGTTGTCTCTTTTCAGTTAAGTTTTCACCTGTTCACATGTGTACACTTCTTGCCTGGGTGGAGGGGAATTAGACACTTTTGAGAAAACTCAAACGGATACTACAATTAACTGGAACATTATTTTCCCTTAGAAATTACAACTTTACTGGATATTAGAAAATGCATTTTTAGTTCCTTCATGGAGCTGATAAAGCGTCTAGGGTTCTTTTTATTTTCCTAATGCAGTGCCATAGACATTCTCTGGGATCTTACTAGGGTATTATCTAGTTAATTTGTTTGCATTCTTCCTGGAGAAAGAAAAATATTTTAATGGTATATGGACCTTTAAAAAATATCTATTTAAAGCAAGTATGTTTTCAGAATCAGTCTTTAGAGTAGTAAATGATGTCCTTTCGAAGATATATGTCCTTGTGGTGTAGAGGCTTGGTCAGGAAGACCCCTACTTCTTTTAGTAATTCCCCAAAGGCACATTATCCTCCTCTCGGATATTTAAAGTACAAATCAAGGTTTTAAATATTCAATAGTTTTGAAGAAAAGTGGACTATCAGAAAGGTCCCTAATGAGAAGCTCTTTGGCTTCAATCTTTGATGGAACGCTGCCTTTCTTATGCTGAGGTAGATTGCTCTTCAGGTGGTTATAATCACGAAGTAGGACATTTACTAGCATTTAGGGATGACTGCATCTTGCAACACCTCTTAGTATATAGTCTTACTAACACCACTGAAACTTTAAGTAAGTTAGTGCTTCCTGAAGGTTAAAAAAAAAACAAACCACATTTACAGTTATGCCGATATCTAAATACTGTAGCTGTATGCCACACCTAAACTTATACATAGGAGGTTTTGGCTATAGCTTAGAACTGAACAGCTCTGTCTGGCCTTTATGCTAAGAGGTTTTTTTTCTTTTTTTTTTTTTTTTCTGTTTTTTTGGTGGGGAAAATGTCCTGTATAACTGATCATTTCTATATCTTAAGAAAGTTTTTAGTAATGGTGCTTTGTTAAGCTGGTTACAGTGAACAAATTATCTGCTTCTTGGCCCTTTGCATCTTTCACTATAGGTAAAATACCTTGAGTGTTATCTGCAGTGGAAGAGAGGTTGAAAAGGTAGGAGAACTCACTTAAGGCAGCTGTTGTACTT